TCAGAGCAGAACCGCCTGCAAAAGTTGATGGAGGAAGCATTATTAGATGATGAGGAAGAAGAACGTTTCTATGATGATGATGATCACCAAGAACAAGATTATGTAAAAGAAAGAAGTATTAATTGATAAATCGAACAAGATATTTCAGATATTGAAGTGGAATCATCTCCTGTCACTGAAGCATTTTTATTGGCAAAAATAAATCTACTAAGTGGAAAAAAACGCACCATCAAAGGTTGTTAAAACCAGAACATTTATCTGGTCTCAAAACTTTAACTATAATATTAAAAGATCCACTAGAAACCTAGAAATAGTTTTCTAATAAAGATATGTTAAGAATTATCATATTAAATAAGCATATAGCTTCCACTGCAGCCAATTATTCTCGCGAAAGAGATATATCACCTACGGACATATGCAAGCTTCAAGTACTCTTTGGATTGTTGTGCTTAGCTGGGCGTCTTAAAATCAAATGGCTTAAATTTACGAGACTTATACAATACACAAGAAACCGTGGAGTTATTTCGACTTTCTGAAACTTGCGAAGAACGCAAGAAGCTGGACAAATTAGCAACCATACGGAAAATTTCCATTTGATCCCTTCGATACCAACTACCAAACTGCTTACAGTCCTTTTTATTTGGTAAGTGAATAAGAAACTGGAAGCGTTTTGAGGTCGTTGCTCATTTAGGCAATATATTCCAAATAAACCCAATAAATAGGGATTAAAATTTTCGCCCTAGTTGATGCCAAGTGTTACTTTACTTCAAATCTTGAAGTCTATGTAGGATAGCAACTTGATGTCTTTAGATTATGTGAACCCATATAGGGTTTAGAAAGTAATATTATTACTTATAACTGGTTCACAAGTATAAATCTGTTAGAGTTATAGTACGCGAAGAAGCTAACGTTACTTGGTACAATTCATAAAAACAACACAGAATTATTACTTAATTTTGTCAACCCCTTAACGTCACGGTTAGTTAGCAGTTGTTTATCGGACTTTGGATAAAATGCCACTCTTGTGTTCTACAAACCCAAGCCAAATAAAAACGTCTCACTATTATTCAGTCTTCATTGTGATAATAAAATAGATGAAGTAACAGGTAAACCCGAAATCATATACTTAAGGGGTTCTTGACACCGTGGAGCTGTGTGCTGCCTACAGCACTGCAAGAAATACGAGGAGATAACCAATGGTATTTTTCTATTAGATACTAAATATTAAAATAAAGAATTACAGAAATGGTTCTATCCAAAGATCCGCTACTACCTCCAGCTGGTAATATTGGCCAACAAAGGGGCGCTGGAGTTACTGCAACAAAAAAAAAGAACAGAAAAGAAAGAAGCGGTATAAGTAAAGTTGAAAGTAAAGATAAATAAGACTGTGGTAAGACCTACATTGGTGTACGGCGGTATGAAGTGTGGCCTGTAAAGACGATACAGGAAAAGAAAATGAAGATAGCTGAAATGAAACTGTTAGGTGTTGGGTAAAACTAGAAGGAACAGGATCAGAAACGACTTAATTAGGGAAAGAGCCGATGTGACTAGAGTCTCAAAAAATATTCACGAACAAAGACTATGTGGGATTAAGGATAGAGCTGTTAAAAGTTTATGAAAGAAGTGATAGAGGAATTTTCTTTCGTGTTTAATTGTATTACTGAAAAATTAATTTAAATTTATTTTAGCATATCCTGCTGAAGCAAATAAATTTTGCGGAAGCTCTATTTTAACAAACTAAATCAACTAGATTATTTGCCCTCTCAAGACCGTTGCTATAGATGGCGGATTTAATATGACCCCAGAAAAAGAAATCCATGAGAGTCAAGTCGGGAAATGTCGCAGGCCATTTAATTTGTCTTATTTCGCTTATAATGCGATCCTTACAAATTTTGTCTAATAATTTCTCGCGCATTATAACCGGAATTAAATAAATGAAGTTATAACTCCTCACAAAAATATTCCGCAAATTTGGTGGAGCACTGTATTTGTTCTTTACTATATTTTAAAACTAAATGAAGCTACTTACTTATTTCTACTTCCGAAAAATGTAGCATTTTTTTTCTATAACGATTAATTATCTTATTTTATATATCTTTTGTCATTTGAATAAAAAGACCTTTTTCCAAAATTTCTATTTTTAGACCATTCAAATTTTAATGTTTATAAGATAAGGGATTTATTTGTATCTCCACTTGCGTAAAGAGCCTTTCAAAAAAGCATCATTTTGATAAGGTCAAACCGTAGGAGTAACTGCTCTTTTATATTTAACTAAGACAAAAAATACATAATAAACGCAAAAAAAACCCTTTAAAAAAATTTATATTTTATTTTATTTAATCTTTTTCATCGAGATGTAGAGATCAATATATTGTAATACAATTATACAGATTGTAAAAACTAATAAAAAATTCCCTGAATAATTTACATAAGTGTCAGCCAACTCCACGATATCCGTTAGGAAATCGATAAATGTCAAACAACCCAGGATTTTATCGCCTTTAAAAACTCCTTCACGGGAATCTCATTGTTGTATTTGTCAAATATTTTATGCTAATCTCTGTAAACGAGAGGGGGATTGAAAAAACGTATCCGGAACTTCAGAGTGAATGTTTATTACTTCCGTTTTTCGCGACATCAACTAAGGTTTTTATTTCACTTTCAGTATTAAATAAGAAATCACGCGTAGAGTCGTAGACATAATTTTTTAGGGTTGAAGTTTTAAGCCAGTGAGCTTCAACAAGCAAGTTTTATAGGACATAAACTGTAAAGTAAGCTCTTAAAACTGTTTTATTATAAAAAAAAACCATTAAGCTTAACATAATAACAAATACAAGAAGCTTTAATAATAACACACTGCAATACAATTTTTGTTCTTAATAATTAAAGGGTAGAGGGGAAAACAGTCAAAGTCACAAATCTGTTGTTTAGAGTAATTCTAATTTTTAACTCTTTAAAACAGCATCCCATTATTTACAAGTAACTAATCTAAAATGTGAAAATATTATTCATTTTTAGTAAGCATTGTTTTTATTAGCCTATTATAATCAAAACGAATGTTTAAAGTATTAATTTTTTTTTAATAACTTTTAATTTACAATGTCAATAAAAACATTGGAAAAATAGTCCAAGTCCAGTAGAAACTTGCTACATCAAATTAAATTCATTACTACTTAATATTGTTTTGAAACTGAAAAAGAAAAAGGTCTATAAATCCAAGTTCCTGATACATCTGCTGATAAAATCTGCATTCCTCTGCAGATGTTAATAATTAATAGCTGTGACTTAATAGCAGAACCAGGCTACATTAGTGTCCAGTTTATGTAAAGCATAATTTACTAAGAACCAAACATTTGCAGCTACTGAAATATTGTAGGTAGATAAGAATAATAAAGTACATTATAGTATTTATAGATTTTGTTTACTCACTTCAAACAAAGCAAGCAGTTATCAGGATCCTCGTGGCATTCACCTGAGCTGGTTGAAACAGACCGGCTTGTAAAACATTCTTGAGCTGTCTGACCACAAAAGCGTTTTAAAACTTATGGATTTTTATATTTTACAGTTCAGGCACAGGAATTGGATTGGTATAAAGTACACTGGGTCCCAAATCTTTATTTTCTAATAAGCAGCGATTATCCATGTTTTAAATACATACAATTCCTAAGCACCATTATATGTATTACGAAGCTGCACTGTTCGCGAATTTGCTCTTAATATTTGCAGTTCCAAAATACTTCGAGTAGGAAAGGGACATTTCTTTCTATATATACCATCTAAATATGAGCTCCATGTACTAAAATCCTGAGTACCCACGTTCTGCAAAAACAAAAGGAGATGGTTTGACACGGGATGCTCTAATATGACCATTCCACTCAAAAGGTAGTTCTATACGCATAATTTGTTTAATATTGCCCATATTTTTGTCACATTCCATATAGCTATGACCATGGATATGAAATTTAATATGTACTGAATCCAGTCGGTTGAGTTTATGCACAAGTAAGTGTAGAAAGCGTATCAATGTGTAGTTTTTATTCTGAACAGAAAAAGAATCGCAAAATAACTCTAATAAAAGTTTCTAAAAATGAGTGCGTCATAGAAACAACTTTATTTGAACCTTTTTTGGCAATAAATGTTTTATTTTAAGTAAAAAACACAGTCTCACCGGTAGTAAACATCGTTCGTTGACATATTTGGCACCGGAAGATTTTTTATAAAATCAAAACATAAAGCTCAGAATTAGCATGCTTCCGATCAGAATGCTTGGCTTTTCGCTTACGATCATAAAACGTTTGAGTTTTCTTTATGTGTAATTGTCTTTCTGTGTTAAGTTGTTTTATTTCACTTTCATATATCTTCTTTTCATCACCGTTGTTACTCATTTTAATTTTTTCTTCAAGGCTGGACAGGGTCGCTACATATTCATCTCACGCTGAACATGTATAACTTCTGGAAAATCCAAAGGATATGTTGTATTTTGTTGTGAATATCTGTCTGTATGTTTCATAAGAAACTGTATATGTAGGACTCTTTTCGTTATACATATTTTGTAACTTTTTAATACTTAAGTCTTCAGGCAAGTATAGATTAGACGAATCATCACTGCTATAATGTGATTTTCTGCCTTTTAATGATCTTATGTGTTCATGTATTTTGTTTTTGGTTTCATTGGTTAACGAATGAACCCTATTTTTGTGTGTTCCTCTGCGATCAGTTGTAGACTCCCCAGTAGTGACGAGTGCCTTTTTTTATTGTGTTTATACGTTGGTTTGTACTGCCATGGATAGAAAGTTAAGCCTGATGACATATGGGTACTTTTGTCATTATAGTATCACTTATTACTCTAATTTTATAGGAATATGAATATTATTATACCACTTAAATGTCTATCTTGCTAGTTTTAACTTCCAAGAATATTGAACTTTCGAAGAATTTTTTTCTTTCATTTTTAGCAATGACACTAAAGAATTTCAAACGTCTACATTTGCAATCCTCACCTTCAATATCACTCATTGCTCGAATTTTTTTGGAAGCGTCACTTAACCTACCGTATTTTGCACACTTCTTTGCTTCACAAAGCTTTTGCTGAACCTGTTCATCTTCATCACTACTTATATTTTTCATTGCTATAATAAAATTCACACAATGAACTGGAATAAAACGTATGTTTGGGAAAGTTATATAAACACAATCAAACCCTAGAAATACTTCTTGGAAAAAACCAAACAAATTCAAACAAGACTATGCCACATTATGCTTTAAACGATGACAATACAATACCGGCGACTTACAGGTACCTACTGAATTAGCCAAGTAGACAAAAACAGATAAGCTGCACTGTTTATTACTGTATATTTTCAAACGTTAATAACTATGGACTTAGCCTATATTTTTGCATTTTTTACATCTAAAATAGTTAATTATTATGGTTTAGTACAGAATAGCGTGAAAAACTCAATTTTGAAAAAATGTTACTTTGACTGTTTTTTCCGTGTACCCTTCAATTATATTACAACTACTATCAAAGGCGTACCAAGCAGAGGGCAGGGGGCTTGGAAGCAAAAATAAATAAATGCTTATAAAATTTTGTTACTGGAATTTATTACAATTTTTGAAACAACTATTTTAATAATCAAATAATAAGTATTGAGAATTATTTAAATAATCGTACCCGTAATTTGTTCATATTTTATTATCGACCAAAATTATTATACACTTATTGTACTTAACTACACTAGAGCCATCTAACGACTAGTAGAGGAATCGGTCAGCTAGTTAGTGTAATTCTTGACAATGGAAGGCTCCTAGTGGGCTTTAGAAGAGTATACAGCCGACAGGGAATGAGGGAAATATTTTTGCAAAGGTCTGTGCTCTTCAGTCTAGTGAGTTCAGTGTCAGGAGTGACAATATACACTTTTTGAAGCTAAGCTTCCATACTGGCATTGTATTACTTTTTTATCTGTAGTAAAATGATGAGACGAACGTCACAGAACCAGCGCCACGTGACAGCGTCACGGGTAAGGTTACAAAATAGCAGTTTTTCATATCGATTCAGTACTCTCGATCAATTTGTTTCTAGTCATCATATATTTATTATAAGCAGGTTTAAATTAAAAACTGCATGAAAAATAACTAACAAAATACAGATATTAAATTAGAGCTAAAATTCGTAAAGATTGTCAAAATTTAAAAGTCATAACTGTCATCCAATTAATAACAATATTGAATCATTTGTTTAAATTTGACATTTTTCGCTTTTAAATAATTATTAGATTATGGACATTGGATCTTTTGTGTTCGGTATTGGTCTGTTGTTTATTTCTTTGGTTTAAAAATAAAATTTACCACACAACAAGAAGCCAAAGCTTGGTCGGTACCTTTGATGTTCGTAGGAAGGAAATTTTGGAAGGAGAATGACAGTTACACTACTAAGTACAATAAGAAAAGTATTAACGAAGTTGTTTAAAATAGTAGTAAAGTTATTGTTACACAGGAAAGGAATGCCATACGTTTAAAACAACAAGAAAAAGCCTTTGTTGCGAGCTATGCCGATATCTTTTACCTTTATTTTACTATCAACTTGTATTAACCTTTTTCTTGTTGTTTGAAACGTTCTAATCGTTTGGAATTCCTTTTCTCAGGTAGCTTAGCTTTCTCCGTAGATGTTTTGGTTGTTGCTTTGAAAACCTCGGAGTCTTCTAAGATTATTGCCACAAATTGGTCGCATTGCTCCTGTAGTGACCCCTTTTCAAGTTAATATGCTCTTTTTCTAACTTGGCTGCGCCGTACTGAAGACGACCAATAGCCAGAAATACGTATATACGGTTGCCTTCCATCTCATACACATATTTTATTATATTTTTTTTCTTCGTCGCGATATAAATATATATATATATATATATCAAGTTTTCTAATTATAATATATTACTATATATACCGTAACTTTTAACCTTCTAAAGGTTGCCTTTCGAATAATTCAAGAAGTCTCTCTTAAATATAGTCATCTTCATAGAAATAAACTAAGACAATGCATTCACTTCGAAACTAAACTTCGTACAAGAAACATCCGATGTGGTTATGTAATTACTTATTCCAACTACTAAACGATTAGGCAAATAACTTATTACTTACAGTTAGTAAACTGCGAAACTTTATTGCTATAAGAGTCCCTCATACTAATAATGGTGGATGGTAAAGATATAATGAGAATTCCTGGAAAACGTTACTTTTGGGTTTATAATAGATGGATGCGATACATTATTATAGCTAAAATTTTCTCGAGGAAACCGCTCTTAAGTCAGAAATTCTCGCTGGTTCAAAATAAATAAAAGTGATAGACGAGATATTCTCTAAATAGTTAGTTAAGTTTAGAAACGATAATTGGCATAAAAAATAGAATAGAAAAACGAAGGTTTAGATATTAAAGAATATTAGTATATACCTTAAGGAATGATTGTTTTACATGTTTTCCATGTTATGAAAATTTTTTTTACCTTTTTTGACCAATTCCAATTATTTTACCATATGTGTAATGAATTTTAATATTTTTTACCCAAACAAATTATGTTGTAATGGTGCTAAGCTTGGTAAACACAGAAACCAATCACGACCTCGAATTAAAAGATCACATGAAAATACACCCCATACGAAAAAAAGAAAACATAGATTATTGATACAAATTAAACGAGGAGGATTAGATGGTAAGATATCGATGTAACTATATAATTTATAAAAAATCCAAAAAGAATATTTATTATAAATTACGTAAATTGTTTACCCACTTTAATTAGCACAATTAATTAGAATCTAGAGCGCACGTATCTATTGTTAACATGCGTGTCTGGTTTCATAATACTTTTATTACACTTTAAGTGGGCTTGTATTCTCAGCACTTTTGTATAAACATTATTTGAACTAAGAACCAATCTTATATAAAACGTAAACATACAATAATATTAAGTAAAGTTCAGACATTAAGTCAGTCAGTAATTTATTTGTAGTCGATATTCGTATTTTAAAATGTAACGATTATATAAAGGAGTAATATTATCTATAAGATATTCGTGTGTATATAAGCAGTGAATAAATCGATATATCACTGATTTAATAATATATATTCACCAATGTTTCTCTTCAACCATTAAGATATAGGTCCAGGAGTAACATCGCCATGAGGCGATGTAATCCAATTAGGGATCCAATTATGCTTAAGAAGAGTAGCATATTGTATTTTAATTTTTATATTGTATGGTGATTTTTAATTTGAAATATATCATTGGCGTACCGTGTTGTTTAATTGAGAACATTACCCGTATGCACGCTAATGTTGAATATAAAATTGTATGGCAAAAACGAGCAATAGATACTTCTTAAAATCCACCAAATTCCATTTGCATATCTTAACCACCCCTTGAATATCAGAAAACGAAGCATTCTTGGACATTCGTTTAAATTGCAAACCTTTTTTCATGTGGAAACACTCCCTAAACTTTGCCGTACTTCTGTATAAATGTGAATTAAAATTGAAATATGAATTTACTTACATCCTGTGTATTCTACAAATATGTATTATTCAATAGAAAAAAGAATTGATACTTTGAACCTTTCTACCTTAAAAACAATTCAGTTTCAACTAATTTAACTGAAAAACTTGTAGCTACGATCCTAGAGTCAATCACATAATATTTTATACTTTGATTGTCAACTGTCTTCAATTTCGTTTACTGGACAGTTTTCGTTCTGACTTATTTATGTAAATTTGTCGGCACAAAAGTGTGAGTATATTAGATTAGAAATTCATAAATATCTTGCTCAAACGAAAACATTGTTGGGGCTTTTGTAGATACATCCTCAAAAATGCAAGATAACATATAAATATAGATACACTTCATTATAAAAATTTATTTCTACTGTACAAATGAAATATTTAATAAATAGTTGTAAAAAACTAAAAATATATAACGGTGCACTACTTTAGGAGGGAGAAGTTAAGAAAAAATTCAGGCAGCAAATTGAAGAGAAGCTCAAAAGCCAGACAACAGTAAATGATATAGAAAGCAGATGGGTACAACTAGAAGAAAAAATTCAAGAAGCAGCCGACTCAGTATTATCAAGAAACAGACAATGTAAACAAACGGATTGGTATGATGAAGATTGTAAGAAAGCTATTAGTGACCGAAATAAAGCTAGAATAAATACCATAATAAGAAATATTGAAAAGAGTACAAAGCTTATGCCGCAAAAAGACGGGAAGCAAAGAAGATCTGTAGAAGGAAGAAGCGTTCAAGTTTAGAGCAGAAACTAGTTCGTATTGAAGAAGATTTTTTATATAAACAAGTCAGGAATTTCTACCAAGAAATAAAACGAGACCGAACCCAGTACAAAACCACATCAAGATATTATAAAGATGAAGAGGGGAATCTGTTAGGTGGACACGTGAAAAATTAAGAAGGTGGGCTAATTATTTCGAGAACATTTTATGTACGGACGACCAAGATGAAAGAGAACAAACAAGATGAAGAAGTAAGGCACCCAGATGTAAATAAAGAAGTACCTACCAAGGAAGAAATTATAGAGATCATAAAAAACTTAAAAAACAACAAAGCACCTGGTGAAAAATGCTAAGTTTCTACAAGAAGGTGGCGGAATGGTGCAAGAAGAAATCGCTGAGTTAATACGCGAAGTGTGAATCAAAGAAAAAATACCCAATCAAGGGAAAGAAGCAATCTTATGTCCAGTGCATAAAAAAGGAGACGTTACAGAATGTAAAAATTACAGGGGAATAGCTCTACAAAATACAGTGTAAAAGACTCTGGCCATATCAATTAGAAATAAAATTAAAACAAAAGTTGAAACTTGTCTAGGTTAATATCAAGCAGGTTTCAGAGCAAACAGATCGGTAATAGACCAAATTTTTACAATGAAACAAATTTTAGTTAGCTCATATGAATTCAACTTAACATTACACATGCTGTTTAGCGATTTTAGATACTATAAAAAGAAATAAAGCATATGAAGCACTAGAATATTTTGAATTTCGATCAAAAATAGTAAGACTGACTAAAGGCATACTGAATGATACTAAAAGTAAAGTCATGTTAGAAGGACGGGTTTCGGATAGCTTT